TGTTATGGATTATTGAACCAATGTAGTGGAAGAGGCTAGTTGAGATCTCTTAGCCTCCAATTCTAAGTTTAAGCTAATTTTCATCAGATTATCATTAAATTTAGGGCAAATTTCTTAAACTACCCTTATGGTTTAGTTAATTGATTAACTATACCCTTATTATTTAACTATTGTCTTGCACCACCCCTATTGTTTCTGATAATTGTCATTGCTGTTAAATTCTAACAGAAATGATGAAAAGTCCATTTTACCTTTACATTAAATCCCACCCATCTTTCTTCAAACGTCAACACCTCTTTCCCGGTTTCATGCCCATCATCGTTATTGTAACCAAGGTTCAAAGTATCGTTACGTATCAGCCCGTATCGGCCGATACGTATTGTTTTGGGACCCTTCCAGTATGCCCCTACAATGGGTGTATCGGGGGTCTGACTGGTTCAGGGGATGGAGGGGACCTAGACCGGCTCCCCTGAACCAGTTTTAAAAAAAAATAAAAATAAAAGTAAAAAAACAAGTATCGAAACACCCAATACGCCCCTACCAGCGTATGAATATTTTAAACCTTGAATGTAACCCAAATCCCCGTTGAACCATCATCTCTATTGTGGCTTCAATGTCTTTTTCCTCTCACTCTAACTTCTAATGAACTCTGCCTCTGAGATGAAAGCTTTTCTAATATTATTTCCACATTACTCAAATTCAACAGAAAGCATCTGGTCTGCTTCATCAAGGACCAAATATTGAAACTCCCCCAACTTGGGGCTATTACCATTGATCAAGTCAATGATACGCCCTGCTGAGGGGACAGAGAAACAAGTATCAAATCGAAAGGGGTTTAGGGTTCTGTTTGGTTTTGTGGAGAATCGTCATCCGAATCTCTCCAATGGCAGGCCTATCCCTCAAATGTGGTTATGTGGAGACTGTGGGGCCCTTCTGAAGTTTCTAAATCAACAGAAGCAGTACTAAATCTCATATGCACTACTTGCAGAAACCCTTGCCTATTCAAAACTGAGTGATTTGCATATGCAAAGAACTAGGCACACTGATATTTCTGATAAGACAGAGCTGAACATGTATGGAGTCCTATCCTAAATTTGGAACCGTCGATTTCACAAGTACATGATGCATCAAGAACGAAAATTACAATAAGAAGACAGAGCTGAACTCTGTATGGAGTTCTATCTTAAATTCAGAGATACTGGAACCCAATCTATTATGTACATTTGGATGGTATGCCATAGACCTGTTCATGGGCCAGGCCGGGGCGGGCTTTGATTCTTTATTAACAGAAAAATGTTAGGCCCGAGTCCGAGCCCGGCTTTAATAAAAATCCCGAAGCCCGACCTAATAAAAGAAATTTGAATTTTTCCCTATTCAAATAGATATTATCTATTTTAATTCAGATGTTTTTTTCCCTTATTTAAATGAACAATGGGCCTACAAGTGAATCAACAACCTTCTCAAATCAAAAAATTTATTCAAATGGACATCACATAGGGTTTTTACTTAGGTTTAACTATAGGTGATGGAGGCCCCTCTCATCATATGGGCGATAGCTCATGGGAAGAATTCAAGATAAGCCAAAGAACTCAAAGAATCCAAGATAATTCAGGAATTCAAGATACATCAAGAATTCAAGAATCCAATATAATTCAAGAATTCAAGATTATCTCAAGATAATTCAAGAATTCAAGATCCATCAAGAATTCAAGACTCATCAAGAATTCAAAGAATCCAAGACTCATCAAAAATTCAAAAAATCCAAGACTCATCAAGAATTCAAGGGAGATCGGACGGGGGAGATCAAGTCAAGAAGAGTTCGATCCTATCTACAAGTTTGAGATGTTTAGATCAAATCTAATTTCTTTTCCTAGTTCTTTTATAATTTCTCAATGTATTATAAATACTGTTATTTCCCAGAATTATTAATCAATTCATACTTCAGATTTTCTTGAGTTTTCTTCTTTGAGTTTTCGCCACCTTTTCTCTCTCCTAGAGAAATCGGTGTTATTCGCTAGGTGCTAGCGAACGCCCGGTGCTTGCATAGCCAGCTCCGGTTCTCATTGCTTCCACGCTGCGTCAGGTGGTATCAGAGCAAGGAGTTCACCCAGTCAGATGGCCAACCAAGACGGTAGCAGTCGCAACTCACCCCGTGACGGAGATTAGGGGTTCCCAGCTGTTTGGAGAGCAATCGAAGAGTAGCGTACAGCCACACGTAACATCGAACGACAGTTGGCAGAGGTGACTGAACAACTGCAAACCTTGTTACGGGAGGTTGTCCCACGGAACCGAGAAAATCCACAGCAGATCGAAGGAGACGACCACGATAGACCACCCGTCGCTACTGCGTCTCGATGATCAGTTCTTGACGACGACAGTGATGACGATTTCGAATTTGGTGGTGCTCTAATTCTTCTCGGCAACGACAGAAACGGTAGAAATTGGCACACAATGTAATTTCAATCCTCGTAGGAATAATGATGAATTTAAACTCAAGGTAGATATTCCTACTTTTAGTGGAGATCTTGGTATAGAGGGACTTTTGGAT